ATAATTATTATTTAGTGATTGAATAATGGTAGGTTGGAATATTTCGTTGTTATTTGTCTGTTTTGATATTTTGCTATAATGAATAGTTAGTGATTTTGATAACATGATATTATGATTTCAATTTGTCACAAGAACTTTAAAGAATGTTGGAAAGAAATTGTAGCTTTCTAATGTATATATAAGTAAAGATTGATTCAGCATCCTGAAATATTTTTTCAAGCATATTTAACATCTTAAAATATTTTATGGTACAATTTTCCCGTTAACATAAGAATTTTTTCCAAGAGCAATTCTGTCTTTAGGGTATAAATTTTTTCAGGAGTAATTTTAACATTATCGTTGACTCTTAAAAATTTGTCAAGTAAAAGTGCATCAAGTAAAGATACATTCAACATTTCGAACTATTTTTTCAATAACACTTTTAGAGTATCGGATATATCCAAAAAAAAGTTGTTGGACAAATCAAAAAATATTTTAAAATGTTGAATATACTTAAAAAAATATCTTAAAGTATTGATAAACCATAAAATACTTTAAAGTAATAGAATTATATAAAAAAAAATATTTCAAGATAACAGATAAACTTGAAAGTTTTATATATTGACTTGCACATGTTTTATAATGCAGGAGAAATGATCTATCACTTTACTCCATCAATGAATTAATGTCGAAATGTTACCAAATTCTTGCTTTTCCACATCAAATCAAATCCTTCTTAAAACCAAAATGTATGCCCCGTGGCACAAACATGAGAAAATCATCGTAGCTTATTTTATAACCGTCGATATATATATAGGGTTCTGTTTTAATTTGTCATAATAAAATTGGTTTTTTTTTTAGTTAATTGATATGAGTTGATTAATAATCCTCCGTGGGCAGGAATCAGGCTCATCTTCAAAGAATAGGGACATGGAGTTTGACTTTTTAATTAATTAACCTTAACTCATTATAATTGTATAGAAAAGATATTATGCTTGAACCTATTTATAAAAAATAAATAATTAATTAAATTATTTGTTTGATATTAAAATTTTTTTTTTCCAAAATGCCTATGTTAAATACTCCTTTCCATCTTGTTTATAGGAACCAGTTTTTGAAGTGACATAATCCTCCATATACGGATCTATATGATACGCTTAAAGGACTGATGTGTGCAGAAGTTTTAAATTTTTAATCAATTTTTTTATTTTCACACTCATTAATTACATGTTATATTATTGTATTAAATAATTTTTTACACATTTCTTTTTACTACTTCTCCTCTCTCTCATTCACCTTTTTTCTCTCCACAGATAAGTATACGTTTTAAAAATAAAATAATTCTTTTACATAGCATCCAACTTTTTTTTTTTTTTTGCAAATTTATCTAAAGAGTTTCGAATCATAACAATTTTACTCTTTCTTGTTAAAAATATTAACAACTAATATTATTATTTTAACAGTCAATACTAATTTTTTAACGGTAGAACTGTAAGGGATAATATTCCTTTTTTTTTTTTTACCAATAAGGGATAATATTCCTACAATTCTCAGTTTTAGAAAGAAATTTGCACCAAAACAGATACTACGAGTGCCTAGTACTTATTAGTAACTATATTTGAGATAAATCTACACCTACCCTTTAAAATTAACACAATACTAACACTAAAAATAAAGAAGTGCAAGAGAAAAGAATAATGCAAAGCAACTATTATTGTTATGTTGGCGCCTAACTAGACATGTTTAATTTATATAGCGTGAACTATTTATGGAATTAAATGTTTATTGAAAGGAAATAATTTAAATAGCAAATCCGATTGAAATAATGGATGTAGAGTAATAATTTTGAAAAACCTGACCTAAAATTTGTCCGTATTTTAAAATCTAGACTGAACATCAAATTAAAATGGTAGACAGAGATCATAATTTTCATGGTGGAACCGACAATTAAAAAAAAAGGAAGAAAAGAAAAATGTGGGTAAAGAATAAAGATTTTATTTTGTTTTTCCCTTCCACATGACCCCACCAAGGTCAGGGACAATCACCCAAAGTCTTTTTTTTTTTTTTTTTAACCAGAATCACCCAGAGTCTAGATTAGCTGCTTCTAGATAGATTTTATTTATCATAGACAACCTAGAATCCCATTACAATGTTACTGATAGTGAAATTTTCTTCTAATTTTTAAAAAGTAGAAATTATAAATATCTTACAGTAACAAAAGTATCCCTGTGTCCTTTTTTATTAAAAAAAAACTTTAGACTAAATCATGTAGATCAAGAAATTAGTTAAAATTAATTAAAGACAATAAATATATAAAAATTAAATTTTGTTCCTCCAAAATACCCTTATTTATGGAGAAAAAAATTATTAAAAAAATAATTATGAAAAAAAAAGTATGATGGAGAGAGATTATATTAAAATATAATTTATTATCTAGAAAATGATATTTTGGGAAACAGAAATTAAATGTATTAACTATTAAAACAAATCTCTAATAGGAGTAAAACAGAAAATTTACGACAAAAATTTAAGACTTATAAATGTTGTTTATATTTAGAGACAAAGACAATAATGATTGTTGCTTATAAAAAAAAATAACGGAGGGGATATTTAATATTGATTTTACTATGATATTAATTACAACAACAAAAAAGTTTCCTTGTGTGTATGTGTCTGTATATTCTAATATCTTTCACAGGATGTGAAGTAAATTGAAAATAAATTTCAATCATGGTATGTGTGTATATATAATAGAAAATAAAACTCTAGCATTTAATCCTCTTAATTTAATTTTCAATTTCATTATTTCTTTGTCATATTAATTATATTGGCATTTCTTGATGTGCAAGTAAATAACTTGGCCCTTTAAAAAAAAAAAAAAGTATAATATAATAATGGGATAACAACAACCACGTCTCCCACGTATTGAACAAGATCTATTTTGTCCCTCAACAAAAATTCCAAATAAATAAAGGAGGTTCCATTCTCATCTAATACATAGAAAGTTGGGCAAAGAATTTGACTTTGAAGGTTGATTTTGATTAATATATTCCATATTATAAACGTGCATGTTATATTACATATGTGTGTGTTACGTCATTTAATTAAAGGGTTCATGACGCACCAAATGATAAATCGAAAGACTTTATACTACTTCTTGTTTTTAATATAAGATCTTTTTTAATTTTTATTTTAATCCTAAATATAATACAACAATTCACTTTGTTTCTCATATTTATGTATTTTATTTCAAGGTAATTTTTCTAATAATGATAATTCTAGCTAATACATTTAATTATCAAGGATATTTTAGGAAAAGCAACACCTATTTATTACAAATAATTAACTTAACTTATTTTTTAATCTATTCAAATTAGTCCGTTAGCTCTTATATTTAGGACCAGAGGCAGTATTATATTGGTATTATTGGAAAATTACACACCTTTTTTATTGGAAAATGTTTTATGTATTAATTCAAAGACCTTATAAAAATGTTTGCAAGATTCCATTATCTTGGAATGTTAACGAAGTATTAATTATTTTTTTAACTATTACACTCTTCATTATTTGTGTTTGTGGAGTAATTATACTCTAATCCTTATTACAAGAATATTCTAACTAATTTACATGTATTAATAAAAACATTAAAGGGTCTTACAAAAAAAATATAGACATATATGGAAAAATAAATATAGTTGATACTTATTTGACACTATTAAAGGGTGTTATAAAAAGGACTAAAATTTCTTCTAGAAAGGTCCACATAATATGGATAAGAGGGAGCATGTATTTTAGAGACCATCTAATAATAAGTCAAGGGGTATTTTAATTAGTTGAGCATATTATATAAAGCAAAAATTGTAGGTCAATTTTGATATTCAAAATTTAATTTATGCTTGACTTTTCACATTTTAAAAATATGGGCATACTTTTTCTTTTTGTTTTTTTTCCTTTTTGATAATGCATGGGCTTATTTTTCTAGTCTCAACACTTGTTAAGCTTTGTTCACACAAAAAGAGGGGGGGGGGGGGAACACTCGTCAAGGTTAGTCCATTTCTAAGATTGAACAACAATATATGTCAGCATTCCAAGAGAGTATTACCCAGCTTGAGTGCTTGACCACACAAAAAGGGGATTAAGCAATTTTTCAGGAATGAATCTTGTTAAAAAGTAAATAAATTTACAAAACAAAAAAATTAAATAGCATGATGAATGCTTATAATAACCATCAATTATATATTATATATCTAAAAGTTGGATATCGTGAAGCAATATTTGAATAGCGCTCAGTAGGTCTCTTCTTACGTTGTTTTTCAAATTCTAATTGAAAATAATTTGCTTTTATTAACTCATAACATATATTCTTAATATGTACATAGCGATACATTCAAAGCTAAAAAAATAAATTGCTTTTTAAAAAGTATGGGAGTAATAAATTTTGAAATAAAATAGGAAAAGTCCCTGATGTCAATAACTAATTAAAGACCCATGAATTGGTAAATCGAACTACTTAATTTACCACATCATCTTCCCTCAAACATCTTTTAACATTTTCACACTCTCTCTTATTAATTCACCACATCATTATGATAACATTGACAGCATAAAAGTAGTATGAACAGAATATAAGGAGAACAACTATTGATTGAAAAAAAAAAAAGTTCAAGGATCCAATTGAAAAAACACAACTGTAAGGATCCTATTCACATAGCGCACACATGGACAAGAGAGCAGCTCACAAAATTGCTCATTAAGTAGGTAGGTTGGTCATGACCCTGTGATCCAATATAGCTTGTGATTGTAGTTTTCTCTCTAGAGTTACGACTAACCTCAATTCAAATATTGCCTATAATAGCATTTACAAATTATTTATCAATAAGATTTTCACACTGTCAATAAAATTAGAGTTCTCACTCAATGGAGGGATAGAGGCTAAGTACGATACCAATTGAACCAACTTTAATTTGAAAGAGTATTTTCTCATCTGGCCTTATCTAAACCGTTTCAAATTCTGGTTGAAATACTAGTCAAACTATGATTGGTACATATCAGATGAAGATAAAGATGCTTCATATTTCAGGGATCGTCTAAAAGTTCACATAAGAAGTGTATGCCTCAGATTAATATTTCATACAAGTAGTTTGGTTTGGACCTTAACAGCTTAGATAAATCCTGGGAATATAGAAAACAAATATAGGTTTTTTCCCTTGGCAAAATACTGAGTTTTTATGCAATTCTATTACTTTATCATCTATCCACATTCTCTTGCTAGCCTTCATGCCAGCATCATTCTGCAAACATGCTTCATTAGACTCTAGTCAATACCGAAGCACTCCCTGCAAACAAATAAGAAATTATAAGAGTCAAACATGAGTCTAAAACTATTAAGAAGAAACTCAGTATAATGCATGAGAAGAACTTGGAAGATGAACGAGGGTTATTCACTGAACCAGTTGGCCAAGCAAACCCGGTCTTGGTCCATTCAGGCCAGGTTTAGAAACCAGGTTGGGCCAGAAATAAGCTACAAAATGTAGCTTGTGGTGTTCCTTGGGTTAGGGTTGACCCCACCCATGAATACCCTTCCGAAGATCCAATCATGCAGCACTATGCTGAAGTAATACAGTACTAGTAGTGCTTAAATTGAGCAACCTGATAACAAAACTATTAAAAGGAAATTCATCTTCAAAGACTAAAAATTGAAGAACTTGTAATACAAATTTGTGAACAACCGATTTATCTCTAAAGATCAAAAGACGTTAATTTTCCTCGAATAAATAACAATACCCCAATTATCTTCTTCTAGAAAGTTACGTCTTATGCTTCTTAAAATTGCAAGAGACTACCAGGATTGTTACTTACAAACTCTTTAGTTTCTAAGCACCTTGCTTCTTAGCTCAGCTATGAAAGGTATGATTCTATTGCCAAAAGAAAAAAGAAGGGTACAATTTAATCTTCCTTAAATTGGAATAAATTTGAGATTATTATATTTGACCACTAGGTTATATGCTTCATCATCTTTCCCTACTCTCATCATTAAAAACCGCTTAGGCGTCCATGTTACAAGAAACTTACAGGACTATTAGTGGAACTTACAGCATTTCTTCCCAACTCTCAACATTAAAAGGGTTACCACCAAGTGTAGGACATAGGAGGGTAAGGGAAAAAAGGGGGAGGAGGGAGTGGGGAAGACAAAAAGAGAAACTGGGGGAGAAGTAAACAAGCAAATAACAAGAAATTCTTATTATTGCTACTATCAGACTTTAGGTATTAATCATCTTGCATCACTTAGCATGAAGATGTTATAGCCCAAACTTCCTCAAGTTACAGGGATTTTTGAGATCATTACATAAGATTTTAGTTCTCTTACCATATGGGCATGTTTTTGGTTGCCAGAAAGGGCATTTGTTGTTCATTCAAGGGCAAAATCACGGCCTTCAGTCCTCAAGAATAATTTAAATTTTCAGTCATTCATAGTAAATTTTATCAAGTTTTTGTCCTCGAATGTAATTTTTCCCTATATAAAAACTAAATCCATGTTCTGTACTTATATTAAACCACAACATGGCATCACACTCAATCAAACTTGAAAGATCACTAATAACTCTACAAATGAAATTGATGATAAGCACTAACTGGCATGTGCTATCTACAACCAACATTACATCATTCATTTGGTTAACTGCTCATTGTTTTCTCCAAATTTACGCTCTTCTTTTTCCTTCTTTTTTGGATACAAAAGGAAAGAACCAGCTCGAAAGAGAAAAAAGGCCCAAAGGATTAGTTCCCAGGGCCAGCCTCCAGCGCCACAATGGGCTCAATCCTATCTGAAGGATATCTAAAAACAAAAAGAATGGAGCAAATTCATTCTCTTAATTGCAGTTCAAATGATCATTTTTATGAAGACTAGATAAGTTCCTCAGTATCATGTAAAATAGCATCTCTTACAGGATTTAGGTTGCTTACTTTGGTACAGTTGCTTCCAGCCGCCTTGTTCCTGAGTGAAGGCCCTAGCTGAAGTTCATCCCCAACATGTCTTAGAAAGGAAGGTCCGGAATTTAATTGACAGGTGATTGTAGAGGAGCGTGCTTCTTCATGGGCAATATGATTTTCCTTGGTTAATGAAAAACCGAAGAGTCTACAGCTACTTTTACATGAAGAAGCCAACTCTCGGCTACCTGTCAGTGGCAAAATAGAATCATCTGAACTTGCCGTGACCAGATGATTATGAAAATTCGACGTGGCAAAAGAATTCATTCCTTCCTGAACTTGCCCACAGGAACCAGGCTCATAAGATGGGGATTGCGCTAATTTTCTAGCATTCACTTCAGAAACATACGAACCTCGGTGGTGCATTTTTCTTTCCATCTCTTGATTACTTTTATTCCCATAATCAAGGTTGGAAACTGGATTGGCTGCTTGCTGGAACATCAGAACAGATGATGGGGATGAAACTGGCCCAGATGGATGCATATGGGAAGAATTGTCCAGCATCTGGGTAGACCATTGATTTCTGGAGCCCAGCAATTGACAACCATCAAAGATTCCAAAGCCGCCAGTTCTATGAGCCTCATTGACAGACAAGGCTCTGTATGGTTGGCTTGGAAGTATTTCTTGACCTTGCAAGACCTTCTGGAATCGTGAGGATTCACTAAAGCCTATGCCATGGCATGAAATGTCAGAACTCACTTGTGGGGCCCTGACATTGTTTCCTGTTGCTACAATTCTGGAACAGTTTGATCCAGGGTAGCACCTGCTTTCAGATAATTGGTGACTCTGGGCACTGATACCAACATATGGGGTATTAACGCCCAATATTTCTTGACCTTGCAAGACCTTCTGGAACCTCAATGATTCCCCAAAGTCTGATCCTCCAATCCTATCTGTAGAATAAAGTATTTTTAGACCTGACACTGAGTGAGGTAGGAGAAGAAATAACAGAACCAACTCCAGAAAAAATATTAGAACCAAACAGTATTCATAATAAATCCGATAAGGATCCTCTCAGTTTCAAGTGAAAAAGTTATATTGAAAAAATTAAAACAATTCCATTGATTTGAACAGTCTAAATTTATTAAGAAAGATTATAATATGATTAATAAAAAAAGAAATTTAGACCATTCAGATCAACAGAACAGTAAATTTTGGTTCAAAGCATAGTCATCCGCCTTAATTGGAGAGACTTACTCAGGACTGGTAATTCAGCCTTTTCTGAAGGCAGACCAATCCTGTTCCTCTTAAAACTAGCTGCCACGGAAGCATTGGAAGTGGGAACAGAACTAGATGGCTCAATCTCCCAAGGGGAAACCCTATTATGCCTAGGGGCTTCAATGTCATCCCACCTGACCTGCAAAGATAAGAAGATCATGACTGTCATCAATTATAATAACAAAACGAATGAAATCATGTTACAATCAGATATCATAATATTAACAGGCAAAAGAAAAAAGAAAACGAGTTAAAGAGCAGTTTTGCTCCGAAAGTATATCCAAAGGGTTCATGGGAACCCTAGAAGACATCGTACAGCAATATAGCACAAAATCTTTCAAAACCGGTGTAATATTGCCCTTTCTTAGCAATTAACATTAAGCTAACTGTTAGTGCAGGCCAAGAGACATTTTTTGACCTGACATTGACCACTAAAAAAAAGACAACATTGATTGGTTTTGAAATATTATGCGCTAAATTGCACCACAATTTTCTTTAGGGTGCCCATATCTCCCCTAGATATACTTCCAAAGCAAAAACACACTTTAACCCAAAGGAAAATGGTCTATGGTTGAAGTAACTTCAAATGCAACAAATCATCAGGAAGCAGTTTGCAGGAAATTCCAAATCAAATATGCGACTATTTTTCTAACACACGAACTCAAGCAAAACCTAATTTGTGTTCAAAACATCCAGAAGATGATAAACCCCTCATGATGGACAGGTGACAAATGTCATATCTGTAGCCTCTTAATCGCAGAAGAATTATTTAAAAAAAAAAAAAAAGAAGCCAACACTTGGCAATTAGATGAAGCCCAAAAACAGGTTTATCAGTGGCACTCTCTAGGTTGCTTTGGAATGGCAAACTTGTACATTTTTAATGAATTCTGTGTTCCCTGGGATCTTTTATTTATATAAGAATGTTATCAAATTCATTTCATTTTTCAAATTAACATGAACGACGTATTTCCTAGGATAAGAACTTGAAGTTATCTGAGCCACATTTTATGTAATCAAGTATAATTTTATTTTCAGCCACCAACATGAGTGCTTGTGAAACTGGCAATCAAATCTATCTGCTTTACATAAAAAATTATTAAAAAAAAAAAAGCCAACTCAATATTCACATGATTTGTGGAAACAAATATACGAATAATGTTTTAATATTGGCCTGCTCTGGCCAAAAAAAAAAGAAGGAAATAAGGTATGCTATATTGAAAGGGAGAGTAGGAAAAAGCAGTGCAATCTGGGAATTATTAAAAAATACTCAAATTTGAAGGAAGGAAAAACCATAAGAGAAGCATCCATTTTAAATTAACTGAATAAAAAAAAAATGAACAACAAAGGACCCTGTATTTGCTTAGAGATTCAAACAAATGACAACAAAAATAACAGCCGGCACTAAACCAGAGAACTTTTTACAGTATTGAGGCCAATCAGAACATGTGAGCACTACTTCCTTATAGTATTGCCCTCTTCCGCAAGAACTATATGTTTAAATAGTAGTAACTATTGTATGCAGAGACTAAGCAGCCTTGAATTTTTAGCCACAACTACCAAAATGAGTCTGGATACTGGTTTTTTTCAGTTAGCATGAAATTTAGATAGGCATGAGCATATTGGCCAGAAACTGCCTCAACAAGTCCACCCTAAGATTACTCATAAGATCAGTCCTTTATTCAAACGTGAGCACTATCCTCATTAGTGTCAAATGTCAAGAACTGCATTTGATGTGATACAGGAGAAAACAGCAGGAAAATCCACACAAATTTGGATGTTTAATTCTTCAACGATGGAAATAATATAGTCTTTTTACAGCCTAAGGTGTTCACCTTACAACACATGCAGACAATCATCTCCTAACTTGCCATCTAACGCATACTTTTTTGGTACTGACAATTTAACCCTCCCTTATAGGAGAGGGGCCCACACACGAACACCCCCCCCCCCAGTTTTTTTCTTAGAGGTATAGAACCCACACCTATCTATAAAATGCATATATAAAGATGAAGTAAAAAAGCTTCTGGTGACATACCACCAGGCATTTCCATTTTGATCCAGGCCATTTAATAGGATCCACATCACTCATTCCAACAATTAATCCAGTGCACCTGCCACCAAAAGTAATTTGAGTAAGAATTTGTTTGGAGACCAATTATTTAAGTGCCACCAGCACAATCAAGAAAAACCTTCTCTCTGTAGTTTCATCAGTTTCAACACGCATCCTGAACCTCATTCCAACCAAATATGAATGATCAAGGCTTTTCAAGAATTTGTGACGGGGTATTATGAATCCTGATGAGCTAACCCTACAACGGAAAGGGAAATATATGAAAGACGATAATAATCAGAAAGCATCTCAACAAAGGAAAAATAAAGGAAGGAAAAAATCTTAGGATTAGATGAAACCATGGAAAACTTAACCAAGACGGTAGATCATAGATGTAATTGTAGCATCACTGGTAATGAAACATTCTTTTAGTATGTAAGAGTTCAGCTGACATGACAAACCCAAGACCCAATACTCCAAGCACACTTGAGCAACTTATAGTCATCAAAAACCCATTGGCTGTTAAGTGACCGAGTAAAATCAGGAAAAAGCAGCAACCAATATTAAATTGATTGCACTGCAGGGTTGTTTATGGGGCTATTATACGTTGAAAGTAGCAAGGTAAAACGTTCAAGCAAAAGGCTGTTGTGCCTAGAAATCTAAATAACAGAAAACATGCTGAAAGAAGGAAGGGAAATAAATTGGAACTTCAAGGGAAAGTTAGTGTAAGCATCCGGAGCAACTGTAGTGTGATTAAAACATGTAAGTAATGACAAAAAGTGTCCACTAAACTAGATCAAAATATGGGCAAAACCCTCTTGGCCCAAAAAAATATAACCTGCGCACAATATTATAAATAGTAAAAACAAGCAGAGCTAAGGAGTTAGAAGCACTATTGAGGTGCGATGTACTTTTCCTAACCCATTTAAACAAACCTCTTCTCTAAACTAGAGGAGAAATGCTAAAAAGAGGCCAAGCAACGGGCCCTATCTGCATAGAGAAAAATGCAAATAACCTCTTCAACTTTGAGCCAATTGCTAACGCTCCCCTCCACTGGGGTTGTTAGTCACCTAAAGTTGAAGGAGGATATTAATTTCTCCCTCTTTTGTATAAAGGAAATATCATCCTAAATCATCAAGTTAAATCAACATTGCACTCGGCAATTACACTTCATAACGGACAGATTTCCTCTAACCTCTAACTAACAGTAGAGAAAACTATGAGACAAGAGGGAAAATACCTGGGATTATAATACACGTTAAAGGCACATTTTGTGGATAAAGCATTAACCACATCCATCAGAGTGCTAGGATTCAACTGATGAGCAGATGGAACTGATAAAGTACCACCACTTTTCAATTGAGCAGCCCTACGAATTCCCAATCTCAGTTCTCCATCCTCGCCCCTACCCAAAAATTTATATGGTTAGTCCTGATTGGGAATAAATGCTAATGCGGGCTTCAAATTGAAGTCTTCATACCTAAGAAACAACACAGCATCTCCAGATACAAGCTTCTTCTTGTTTACAAATGCACTCCATCCAGTGGTGAGCAAATGCCTCCTTGGTTGACCTGTCCATAGGATAGAGAGTAAAGATACAAATACGAAGAGTCAAGTGGTATTCTAGTACACTGAAGACAAGTTGCCATACCTCGGTAAATATGTCGGAACCTCCATTCCAGGCCATGCAGATCCTTTGCCACAAGCTCCTGTGAAGGTCTCTGTTGGTTGTAATCCTAAAGGAACAATTTGTTCAATACGATATATCATTATAACTGCAGATTTTCAAATTGGATAAAGCCACCACACTTCAAAGAGCTTATAAAAATTAACTTCAACTAAAACAAAATTGCAAAACATATAGACCATGACCAAAGGAGCAATTGAACTGGGTGACACTGACTAGAGAGAGCACTGGATGCAACATAATCCATAGTTACCAGGGGAGGGAAGCAATCTTCAGCAGCTCGGCGAGGCACAGAAAACCCACCATGAGTGCTAGTATCGGAAGCTGTCAGAGTCTTGCAGAACATGTGGGGTGTCGTGGACTTCACCACAGCAACAGCATCCTCCTCTTCGACATAAGCATCAAGTTCTCCTTCTGGCAGTTTTCGTTCCACTTGCTAAGAACAAAGGGCAAGTTCATGCAAAATAAAAGCAATTCTAATAAGTCTCCTAAGGCTAGCTCAGCCTGCTCAGGCAGTAAGAATGGATGGTATATGGGCAGAGATTAAGCTTCAAACCTTCCTCCTCTTCAGGTAGCCAAAGGAAAAAAAAGTTGTAATTCAACTAAAGGTACTCTAATCAATGTGCAACTCTTCAATTTACCATATTACATTTATTAGTAATGTCTAGGTTTGTCCTTTCCTTTTTCACTGAGGCTATGTTAAAAGGACAAGTATAGCATTGGGGGGGGGGGGGATGAATCTATGTGCATATTAAGTATTTTGAGCTCTCAGTTTCCAGAAATATGAAACTCGGCTAAATGTAACAACTTCATTATATAGGCGAGTTTAGCGAACTTTATTTCCTAGAACCACGAATGCAAGATCGAAGGGTTGAAATTTGTTTCCTTTTTCAGTACTTTCTCCGACACAACACCAAACTAAAACAATAAACCTCACCTCATTCTCAGGAACCAACGAGACGTGGCAATACACTTCATCGCTCCCTTCCTCGGCCTGCCAAGAAAACGCTTATATATGTCATGTAATAGACCAACATTTGGCCATCACTCACCATTCACGAAGAAGGAAGGGAAAATAGCAGAATACACATAAAATTTTCCCACTGATCATACACAATAATAGGCAAATATAACATAATAGGTCTCAAATACATATCTCCAATCAATTTTCTCAGCAAGCAAACAGAACCCCAATAAAGGAAAACTAGAAAAGGGAAGAAAAAAATATCCAAACCCGACCAACTAGGGACATAAATCACTTTTTTCCTACCGAAAATCAGGAAGAGAATGCTTACATGGAGCTTAACATCAAGTACGCGACAGAAAACATGAGATGGGAAATTGATATTACAGGCCTCGACCGCAAAATCCTGAAGCTGCTGTTCCAAGTGGCCCTGTGGGAAGTACACAACAACACTTCCTTTCTTGGGCAACGAGATCATTGGACCCGCACATGCGTGCCATAGCTCCAAGCACACAGCGTTAGAAGAAGGGGCCAAAGCAGTAGTTACAACACCAGAGTGAGAGGACGAAGACGAAGCCGCCGAGGAAAGAGACGACGGCGTTTCATCGTCCTCCGTAGTATTGAGATCGATCAAACCCCCCATAAGAACCAAGCCCTTGCTACACAATGTTAGCGAATCTACCAACAATAACCACAGGAAGAAGAAGCTGTTCAGTGGTTGTACAGTGGGCGTGAATGAGAGAAACAGAAGAAGAAGAAGAAGTGAAAAAGATTGAAGGAGTGATGAGTGGTTTCATCGATACCTGCATTTTTCAGAGGGCGTGGGAGACGAAAGGCCCTGGCATTGCTAAAAGAAGGTGTGACCCAACACTCGGAAAAAGAAAGAGAGACCCCTCCTTCTTCTGTACCCGCTGAGCAATCACTCTCTGCTATTTTTAACTTTGTTTCTTTTGGAGATCACTTTTCTTTTACCTTTTTGAATGAAAGAGGAGGGACTGTGAAACTGTGAGAGAGTGAGAGCTTCAATCATGTGTGTGGGGTGCAATGAATTCTCTTGGGGAACATGAAATCCAGCTTTCGTTGGGATTAAAGATTGGGGTTTTGTTTAAAGATGGGGTTTTTACTATTTTCTCACCTTTTGAATTTGTTTTTTTTGTTTGTGTGCAGCCTGAGGCTGCTGCAGTGACTGCCAATCCTGCGACTGGTGGGTGACTGGCTGTGATGTGTGGTCGAGACTCAGATATAAAAGTGAGGTGTTAAGACCAGCGATACTTTGATCCAGAATATGACGGATATATTCTCACACCTCACTTTTTTTTTTTGGGGGGATAAATATAGATTTTTTTTTAATTAAAAGCAATCTGATCTAAAAAAGTGTTTGGCTAACTTCAAAAATACTTTTTGAAAGTATTTTTTTGCAAATCGATATAAATCTCTCTATATATTTACTTCGCATACCATAAAAATACTTTTAGACCTATGGTTTTGATCTTATCTAAACACCTCCTAAGACACTATTCGGTATTAAATACAATAGTCTTCTCAAATGTTACATGAAATTGTAGATAACTAATATATTCTTCTTTATGGGAGGAAGCAGCAACTAATCTATTTTTGTGAATAGTTAAAGTATTTATTTGATCATTTAACTATATGTAAAGTTTCAGTCTGGTCCCTTAATTTTAAAAAGTATACTTTTAATCTTTTAATTTTAAAATTATTAGTTTTAAATGATGATTTTTTGAAACAATCATGGTTGTTTTGAAAATTAAACTTAATATATTAGTATTTAGTAATATTTTATCAACATTTAAGAGCTCAATATCATTATTTTTTATTAATGGTTTTAGGGTTAAAGAATTAAAAATTTACTTTTTATAAAGTTAAGGGACCAAAATAAATCCTTATGTAAAATTAAAAGACTAAAAATATATTTTAGCCTTCTGTGAATGTTTAAAAAATTATTGTTAATAGTTAATATGTTAAAGATGGCTATTTTTAGAAAGAAAAAAAGTAAAAGGCAACATGGTAAAAACACAATATTCACAAATTCCAAAATTAGTCCCCTTGAACCAATTTAAGAATTGTTGAATTCAGTGAACTAATTTGAAACTTGAGTATTTTAAAAGAAATTTTCACATACATACATATGTATGTGTGGCTTCTTTTGGGGTTAAATTCCAATGAAATGTAAAAACTTAATAATAATAATAATAATTAGGGGAGAATGATTGGTCTCCAACAAAATTATTATAATTAGACTCACGTAGAACGTCAGTGCGGTAGAAACCGTTCTTATTAATGTGTGCTGAATGGAATAAACTTAATTGGAAGGAAGATTATGGACTTTTTCCGGCGGAAACATGCCTTAGCTTTTCAATTTTTTTTTGGTTAGTCAAATTCTAATAAAAAGTAATAAAAATGAAAAATATAGACGATGTAAGATAATCATCATAAAGATATCCTTAAAAGTTAAAATGTCTAGTCTGTTTTGTCCCCTTCTACCTCAAATTGTCTCCTTCTTACCCTGTGGAGAAGGCTGATGAAGGATTTTGGTAGTTTCATGAGACAGATGGCAACAAAATTTGGGCTTCCACTAGTTGGGGTAAAATAGTAGACAGAAAAAGTTAAACTTTTTTGGTTGAACGGAAGAATTCTTATTAATTAATTTGCTAAAATTTTTAATTTTATCATTGTAGTACAAATTGTATTATAAAGTAATCTTATGTCTAGGATTAGATATAGTAAATAAAAAGGTAATTTATTGAACTGGCCCAAAAAAATTCTACTTCACTAGTATTGATGGGTTGTGGGTATATATATCTCTTTAAAATCATAAAATAAAAATCAACTAAAAGAATAATTTTTGTCTGCAATACTAAAAATACCATATTTATATAAAAATAATTATAATTTTTTAAAATTATTAAAAAAAAAAACAAGCAGTTGATTATGGACTTTTTAAAACCATACTTTGTGTTCAATAATTTAAACCAAGTTAAATTCAAGTTTTATATCCTAACTCAGGTTGACCAGTTAGACCAATAAATCAATGAACCAATTCTTTGATGATTGGATCAAGAGTTTTAGATGGGGTTGATCAAGTTCAATTTTGTTGAATTATGCGTAATTCATACATAAATGTTTTATTTACTTTAGATTAATTCCTTTTTTATTTAAATATTATTCTAATTATGGATTTGATTTTAAGTTAATCCTATTTAAACCACTACCTACTAGATCATTGTTACAACCGACTGATTCACCATTCTGATTTTTAATACTCCTCTGGTCTTTAATGTAGGATTTAATTTTTGAGTTGGTTTTGGTCCTAAATATAAGACCCATTTATTATATTTATCAATTTTTTCTAAATTACCTCTATGGATACTCCCTCAGCCATAATCAAATACAATAGGAAGATGAGTTATTAAAAAAGATGATTATGGTATTTTAGAAAAAATGTGTCACTTTTCTTATAATTAACTAATTTACCTAACTTTTTTAATCTAATCAGATTAGTCAAATAGGTCTTATATTAAGGACTGAAAAAGTACTTGCTCGTATTCTAGCCAATGTTAACATTAAAAGAATTTATCGTATCAAGAAAAACACTAAAAGAATTTATTATTAAGTGTTCAATAAAATCAAAATCATTTTATAATACAAAATTTCAATACATTAGTAATAGTTCTCTTAAATCATATTATTTTCCATTTTCCCCAAAAACTCTACAGTTATTCAGTTCAATTTTATTAAGTTTTTCTATTTAATTTTAAAAAACTAAACTCAACTTTTCGCTGATTAATTTTTTGTTAGAAAAATTAATGTTTATTAATATAATAGTAATTTTAACTATTCAGTATCATATTTTCGTGGTGACATTTAATTTTAATTTATTTTGCCTTCTTGTTATATTAATAATAATAATAATTTACTATGACCAATTAATTTCTTAGAAGAATTAAAATTTAAATTTTCGTAAAATGAAATAAATATTTAAATTTTAACTATATTATAGATTTCAACATAAAACATTAGATTATGGGTCATATAATCCATGTATATAACTTAATGATTACAAACTAGTCTTTTCTATTATTTTTTATTGATAAGAATGCATCTTTAATCTTTTATTTTCATATCAGATTTATTTTGATCCCTTGATTTCATAAAATATATTTTCACTCCTCTAATCTTAATATTATTAACAAAAAAAATGCTAAAATCAAAATTTTAAATGTTAATAAAGCATTTTTAAATACTAATATATTAATGATTGATACAAAAAAGTATTACTTGATACTAACCGTGTTAGACTTAATAAACTAAAAATACTTTATAAAATTAAGATATCATATTAAAATTTCATATAAAGTTAGATGATGGCTTTTGATACTTTTTAATTATATCATGAAGAGGTTTGAATCTTAATTATTAATTATAGTTAGTCCTCTTCTCTCTCCCAAGCAATCAACGGATTGAATCCTGCAATAATTATTGCAATTTGCATTATGGTAAATAAGGATTTACTTGAATATGGTAATTGAGAATGGGGAACAAGCAGTGATCAATTGAGAATGAAATTATACTTTATGAGGGAAAAATGATCAAATAATGTTGAGCCTTAGGTGGGTAGGGAACCCCAATTTATTTTCATACTTGGAATTGGTTTTTGGTGATTAATACTGACAATTAACCAAAAGAAATAAGACAAGTGAATCTGCAAAAAAGGATATAATTACAAAGTCTGTGTGGTCTTTTCACTTTACAAACTGCCAATTACTTTCCCTACCCACCGAACCCCATTTTTTGGACTTTGCCATTAGGGGGTCCTTTCACAATAATTACCTGTTTTTTTGGACAAGAACCTGTGACTAACCCATTCATTGTGCCTGAACAATTAGGGAGGTGGCTAATTACTTTTCTTTTTTTTAAAAAAAAAAATCAGATTTAGTTACTCAAAGCTTATGAAATTGATAGTTAATACGTTTCAAAATAGAAAATTTATTAGAGTTTTATGTCACTGCCAACTCATCCAAATTTGAGTATTTATTATCTAAAACAACAGTTTTGAGTTTAAAATTTTTGAGACTAATAATTTTATATTTGGAGAGTTATAAATGAAAAATATTTTTTATTTGAAATTCTCCATCTCCTAAAATAAAAAATTTACATTAAATATAAAAATAAAGTTAATTTAGATGATCAAGTTTTTGATGCTCATCATTTGTTGAGCACCCAAACTCATTGCTAAACTAGCGAGGAAAAATTATCAATTGGAAGTGAGCCAAGTGAGAAAGGACTAATGTTTTTAAATAAAATTGAGACGTTGAACCTTGCAATGAATAAAAAATCACGCTGGAAAAAAAAAAAAAGACTGCCTTTAATTTAACTTCTGTGATATTTTAAATCTGACTTGATAGTGTTAGTTCGATTATAAATGTACAACTTATATAACTAAATTTTAAAAATTAAAAAAAATAGTTAAGTAAGTTATTTATCAGAAACATGCACTATTTTTTCTTTTAAAAAAAATTAGGTCAAATTCTTTATATCTATAATTATGTGTCTTTTTTTATTAATATAGATTTATAATTAAATACTATTAAATACTAATATTTCAAAAATATGATACATAGTCATGTATGATTGGAGAACTTAACATAATAAATATAAATAATTTGATGTAAGTATTATTCTTTTTTAAAGCACCCTTTTAATCATTTGCATTAAAAACTATCTATATCTAAAATCTTCTTAATAAGAGTAGTTAATAGGGAAAATAAATTATAATTTTGGAAGACAATCAAAATAGATCTATTCACGAGCTCTTATATATAAGATCAGAAAAATACTAGATACCGTGTGTATTTAAAAAAGGGAGATTTTATTATCAAAATTGGAGGTCTTAATTGTCAATTCCACAATTAGTTAGATGCTCTTGGTCTCGATGATAAAGTATTCGCCCATTTTGCA